TAGAACACTTACCTAGAATATGCAAGACCATAAATTCAGTCCCTAGCAACACCAAATAAATAAATAAATAATAAAGTAGATGTATGTATGTATATCTGAGCCAACTTAATTTTATTTTTTGTTTTTTTTTTAAAGATTTATTTATTATGTACACAGTGTTCAGCCTCCATGTATGGCTGCAGGCCAGAAGAGAGCAACAGGTCTCATTATAGATGGTTGTGAGTCACTATGTGGTTGCTGGGAATTGAACTCAGGACCTCCGGAAGAGCAGTCAGTGCTCTTAACCTCTGAGCCATCTCTCCAGCCCTATTTTTTGTTTTTTGAGACAGGATCTCACTATCTTCTCTTGCTGGCCTCAAAGTCATAGAGATCCTCTGCCTCCACCTCTCGAGTGCTGGGATTAAAAACACAAGCCGCCATGCCTGGCTCTCTTTTTAGACTTTTCAATTTTATGTGTATGTGTGTCTTGCCTACATGTATGTCTGTGTGCCCTTTGCATGCCTGGTGGCTGCTAAGGTTAGAAGAAGGTCTCAGAACCCCTGGAATTGGGTTTAGAGATGGTTGTGAGGCAGAATGTGGGCGCTGGGAATTGAGATGGGTCCTCAACAAGAGTAAGTGCTCTTAACTATTGAGCCATCTCTCCAGCACCTTAATTTTTTTATATTTTTATTTATTATTATTATTATTATTATTTTATTTTTGGTTTTTTTGAGATCGGGTTTCTCTATAGCTTTGGAGCCTGTCCTGGAACTAGCTCTTATAGACCAGGTTGGCCTTAAACTCACAGAGATCCTCCTACCTCTGTCTCTCAAGTGCTGGGATTAAAAGCATGCACCACCACTGCCCGGCTATTATTTATTTATTTTATTTCAGAGTTTTTTTGTGTAGCCCTGGCTGTTCTGGAATTCATTCTGTAGACCAGGATGGCCTCAAACTCAGAGATCAACCTGCCTCTGCCTTCTAAGTGCTGATATTAAGAGCGTGAGTTACCACCAATCGACCCATTTTTAACTGTTAAAAATCATATCTAATTATCTTTTTTATTTTTATTTTTTTTAAATATTTATTTATTTATATATTATGTATACAATATTCTGTCTGTGTGTGTGCCTGCAGGCCAGAAGAGGGCACCAGACCCCATTACAGATGGTTGTGAGCCACCATGTGGTTGCTGGGAATTGAACTCAGGACCTTTGGAAGAGCAGGCAATGCTCTTAACCTCTGAGCCATCTCTCCAGCCCCCTCTAATTATCTTTTATGTAGGCGTATGCATGTGGAGGTCCGAGCACAGCTTGTGGCGTTCAGTTCTCTTTTTCCTCTGTGTGGGTCCTAGTACTGATCTCCAATCATCAGGCTTGGCAGGAAGGGCCTTTACTCACAGAGTTGTCTCAGCCTCTACAGAACATTGGCACATCCTGGAGTTAGTCGGTCCATGGTTCACACTGAGAAATGACTGAGACCAGGCTGGGTAACAACAAGGACATAGCCTTTTCCTCTCAGCCCCTGCTTAAAGTAAGAAATCTCCGTGTGTGGAAGTCCGGGGTGGGGGGCGGGGGAGGAGAGGGACGACGACGACGGACGGACGGACACAACACAGTACAGGGCTCTGTGACAGGGCTCCCATTTTTGTATTCTTAGGGTCCTGGGCTTGAGCCTCAGCAGAGAGGGAAGGAGGGTGGGAGGGAGATAGGGTGGGTGTTGGGAGACACGGGGAGGGGAGAAGGTAGAGGACTGGTGTGTCAAAGGAACGAAGAATTGACTGCGCGAAAAAAGTCCTTTATTTCCACTTCCCAACTCTATCCCTCTGTCTTGGAGTGGTTCGAGGGAAAATTGTCACTCAGGCTAAGCTGGAAATGGAAGATGCAGCACTTACACTGGAGATTTTCTCTAAATTTATATTGGACCGTGAACTTCCCGAATGGGGTATAGGAGCCTGTCTTTTTAAAATTGTTTTATTGCCGGGCAGTGGTGGCTCATGCTTTTAATCCCAGCACTCGGGAGGTAGAGACAGGCAGATCTCTGTGAGTTCGAGGCCAGCCTGGTCTACAAGGGCTAGTTCCAGGACAAGCTCCAAAGGTACAAAGAAACTCTGTCTCGAAAAACAAAAAAAAATGATTTATTAATTTGTTTACTTTATGTATACAGGTATTTTGCCAGTATATATGTATATCACGTTCATGTAGTACCAAGGGAGGCCAGAAGAGGGCGTCTGATTGGAGTTATAGAGGCTGTGGGTTCTGGGACCGCAACGCAGGTCCTCTGAAACAGGAGCCTGTGTTCTTAACCACTGAGCCGTCTCTCCAGCCCCACAACAGTTTCTTCTTTAAAAGAGGAAAAAGAGAACATATTTGGGACTGCAATAAAGATGCTGAGGGCGTTAATAGATGCCTTTAATCTCAGCACATTTAGAACACAGAGCTCTGTGAGTTTGAAGCTAGCCTGGTCTACCTAGAGAGTTTTAGGTCAACCAGTATTATACCGTGAGGCCTTGTCTTAAAAAAAAATAAAATTCCAATAAGGAGCATTTTCAGATTGTAAAAAACTTAAATATTTTTGTTTGTTTCTCTTCTTTCATTCTCATACTGTCCCTGAGACTGGCCTGGAACTCCTGGCAAATCTCCTGCCTCAGCTTCTACTTCTGGGATTATAGGGGTGAGCTGCTGAAAATTTACATTCATTCCCCTAGTCGGGGTGAGGGCGCGGGGGAGCACCTCTTTTCAACCCTGGGAAGCTCAGGTTTATCATATACTCTTTTCTCCTTAAATTGCTGTTTTGCGGTTTCTGTACGCAGCCCAATCCCAGATCTGAGCTGGAAGCAGCTTGCCGAGCTGGAAGGATTCGGCCCGTACTGAGAAGCAAAAGCGGCTTTCTAGACAATCTTCTTTCTAAGTCTCCTCCTCTCTCTCTCCAGAGAGACAACAGAAATAATTGATCCATCATCCAGTACCAGACACAGATTCCCATGCAATTCCCTTCCCTCTCCAGACCTCAAATTTACAAGCCTGGTGTGTTTGGCGGGGGTGGGGTGAGGGTGTGGGGAGTGTTGGTCTACTGGCCACCCCACCCCTCGGCCAGGTGAGAGCTGGACAGGAGAAATTCTCTACCACAACTCCCCCAGCCTCCTCCCTCGCCACACACACCATCTTTCGGGTGTGGAATCACTTAAAGTTTGGGTAAAACTCCCTTTTCTCCCAGGAGATCAAATCTGGAAGCTTTCAGGAGGCGGAGCAGGGATGGGGAGGGAGAAGGCAAATTCCCCAAAACATTCGTCAGACCTAAAGAGGTTCCTTCTCTCGAAACTGCCCATCACCCCCCGCCATTAACTTTCCATTAAGACCTCCTCCTTATGGCAACTAAACTTTACTTTGCATAATTAAGATTTTCCTCGGAAGGGGGGTGGATTGAAACCTCAACTCTGGGCCTTTCTCCTTCACCTCACCCCCCACCCCTGCCCCAGACCTGAAGCCTGGCCTCTGAGTTCCTGAATTTTCTCACTTTGAGGTGCCACCGAACACAAAGAACCATAATGGGCTCCTTTGTGCTCGCTATGGGGCAATTACACCCCGGAGTCCCGGCCCCTTTAAGAGCCCCTTAAAGAGACAGGCTCTCAATTTTTCAGAGGGTTACTTAAGGGTGTGTGAAGGGGGAGGGGCGAGGAAACTTCTCGGGGTCCTTTTTTAGGGTGAAGTGACACTTTTACCTCCACTGTATGAGAAGGGTTTGAACAGAAGTCTTCGCAAACTGTTCGCTTACGCGCTTTTAACACATACTTTTACATTTATACATTTTTTTAACCTGAGATTTTTTTTCACTTGATTTTATAAATGGTACTGAAAAAGTGGGGGAGGTTGAGGAGCGGGGACGTGAGCAAAGAGCTCGTGTACTTCAGAGTGCCTGGGCTCCAGGACTACAGATCAGACTAGAGTTGCCTGGATCGGACGCCACCATGGGAAAACGTGTCTCCGGACCTCGTCTCGGCGACTCCGAAGAAATCGCGGATTGAGCAAACAGCCCCTAATATAATAATAGCTTGTCTCTTTAAAAAAGCAAAAGGAGGGGGGTAGAGTTTTCTTGGCATCTGGTTTCTGATCTCATTATGTTGCGGTCGACCAATCCAGCCCTCGGGGCTGGTCCTCGAGTTTAAATCTGATTGGCCGAGAGCACATTTTGGGCCGGTGCAAAGCTCGACGGGGCGGTTTCAAGGATCCCTTTGAAGGGGGGGTGAGGAGAAGGCGGGGCCGCCAGCGGGGGCCCCCTTGAAACCGACTAATTGGGTTCGGAGAGGCCGAGGTGAGGGCTGAAGGAGGCACAAAGAAGTCGCTGGGTAGAGGAGGGTAGGGAGAGGGGAAGCCCAGAGGCTAGAGAAGGAGGAAGAGGAGTGAGGGCAGCGGTGCGCGGCGACTTCGACCACTCAGTCCGACCGCGGCGAGCCAGCAGGCGGGTGCGCCGCCCCCTCCCCCGCCCGGCCTCCCCAACTCTGCGGCCGCGAGCAAAGTTTGCTGAGAGGCTCGGGAGGCGGCCGGGCAGCTAGGAGACAGCGGGGAAGGCGCGCGGTCTCGGAGTTGGGGGCGGGGGCTGGGGGGCGCCCAGGAGCC